AGTGGCACTGTGGCTCAAGTGGTAGAGCGCTAGCCTTCAGCTGAAGAGCTGAGGGACAGCGCCCAGGCCCAGAGTTCAGGCCCCACGACCGGACCCCCCAAAAAAAAAATTAAATTTTATTGACTACTTTGAGTGAATTGTCTGATATTTAGTATACATTGTAGATGATTAATAAAATATAGTATCCCGATTCTGTTGGATATGTTTTCTGATATTGACTGAATTATGTAGATAATCAGTGAGAGAAAACATATATAACAAAGATAGTATTTATTTATGATTGGGGTGAAATTTGGTGGTTTAAATTGGATTATTCTGTAATTTCTATTCATAAGCAACTTTTAGTGAATATTTACTTTTCTTCAGGTTGGTCCCACAGCTACACAAGCCATGCAAGAATTTCTGACCCGATTACAAGTGCATCTGTCATCAACCTGTCCTCAGATATTCAGTGAATTTTTGCTGAAGCTAATTCATATACTTTCAACAGAAAGGTAAATTTCAGTGTACTCTTCTGACTTGATAAAGAAGTAACATGTAACCCTCCAAATTCATATTACCTTTTTATTTGTGAGGAAAAGTTTATTAGTATTCTTATTATTTTCATTTCATTTCAGGACAAATCTTTTAAGTCCTTCAGTAATGTGAAAGAAATACAGTACAAAAAAACTTTATTTCTTTTAATGTTTTTATGTATTAGTTATTATAAACCTTATAGGTATAGTTTATTTTGAGGGTATTTGTTCTTTTGAATATTAAAAGAAAGTATCAGCAATTTTATATATGATTAAAGAAATGAGAAAGGTAGCTTAAAAAGTAAAATAACATGCTGGGCAGTGTGTTGGTAATCAGAGATAGCTGTAAGGAGTCTGAGATGTAAATGATCTAGATTCAAGGCCAGCTAGGCATAAAAGTCTACAAGACCCCTCCCCTGCTTTAATCAACGGCTAACTAGGAGTGATACACTATACATGGAAAGTGAAAGTAGGAAAAAAATTGTAGCCACAATCAGAGACATCACATTATGTCACATTATGTGATGTCTCTGATAATCATATTTTATATTTAATAGTTACCATCAGCATTATGTAGGATATTTTATAAGCCCTAACATACCTTTTGATTAAAAAAACAAAACAAAACTTTTTTTTTGGGGGGGAGGGGTTCAGTCGTGTGGCTTGAACTGTGGGCCTGGGTGCTATCCCTCAGCTCTTCAGCTCAAGGCGAGCACTCTACCACTTGAGCTACAGCACCACTTCCGGTTTTCTGGTGGTTTATTGGAGATAGGAGTCTCACGGTCTTTCCTGCCGGGGCTGGCTTTGGACCGTGATCCTCAGATCTCAGCCTCCTGAGTAGCTAGGATTACAGGCATGAGCCACCAGCACCTGGCCAAAAAAAAAAACAAAAAACTTTTAATGGGTACCAGCATAGTAGAGGGATTAACTATTTTAAAGGTATTGGATTATACCCCTAGCACAGAAAAAAAAAAGCACCTTTTTTATATTCTTATTATTAACTACTTGCAGAAAAAGGTTACAATTCTTTAAGTTAGGTTATGAGAACAGTGTTCCTTGATCAGTGTCACCCCTTCCATGTCCTTCCCCCCCCCCATTTCTCTTTCATCCCTGTCATCAAGTTACATAGTTCATTTTTTACATAATAATGTTCATTGAGTATAATGACTACATTTGCTCACCTTTCTTTTCTCCATTCATTTGCTGCCCCTACTCCCCATTTCACACCCTTTCCCCTTTGAACTAGGTTTCGCAGATCTCAGCCTCCTGATTAGCTAGGATTATAAGTGTGAGCCACTGGTGTCCATCTCCGTAACACTTTTTAAAGCAGTAGAATTCTAGTTCCTCTCTGCCTTTTGTGAAGGTTCCAACATAGGACTAGTCACATGTAGTACACAAACTTAGGTATGATGTGTCAGGCAGCAAGGGGTATGGGAAATGTCTGTGAATGGAGATGAATTTGTTACCACCCTAGTGTACTGTTAAGCTCTTCTCAGCCTGTTAGATACTTTAGTTGAGTTTTTCTTTTTTTTTTTTAATTTAATTTTATTTTATTTGTGAACATACTGTAGAGGGGTTACAATTACATGGGCGGGATAATGCGTACATTTCTTACCAGGAATTGCAACCTCCTCCTTTGTTTACCCTTCACATCCCTTCCCAGCCTCCCCCCTCCCCCCCATAGTTGAGTTTTTCTTAACCAGTAAGTATGTTACCTTTTCTCAAACTTGGGCCCCAGGAAAACCCTTTCAATTTCCCTGGAGAGGCCTGTCTTTTCATGGATTTCAGGATTTTTAGTTGCTTTATTACTTTAACTCTATCCTGAATTCAAGAAAATATGTCCCTGTGTAGGTAATTTGCTTTTTTTTTGCTACCTTTGGGAGTGATGCTTTCTAAAATTTGTTCTATCTTGGCTGTTTGCAAACTTTTATTTTTTAATTTTTTTTTCAGTTTTAATACATAAAAAAAATTGATTGCATCTGAATTATTGAGAATAAAAATGAGTAGCTACTATTTATAGTGTCAATCATTAAGGTTGTATTACTGTAGGGTCATTCCATAGTGGAATGTTTTGTTTTTGTTTTTTGCCAGCCCTGGGCTTAAACTCAGCGCCTGGGTGCTGTCCCTAAGCTTCTCTTGCTCAAGGCTAGCATTCTACCACTTAATCCGTAGAGCTACTTCTGGCTTTTTATGTGTATATGGTATTGAGGAATAAAAACCAGGGCTTCATGCATACAAGGCATGCACTCTTCTGCTAAGCCACAGTCCCAGTGTTTTTTATATTGAAATACTTCAGCGTGCAGTTTAACAATAGTTATTTTACTTACCTTTACTTTCCTGTATCAAGGAGGAATCATTTTGGGTTTTGTTTAAAAATGCTGCCTGAACAAGAAGACTGGGAAAGGGATGGAAGCATAGCTACCAAATGAGATAATGAATACCAAGAGGTTGTTATTTCTTAATGACCTTATTTTATGGCAGTTGTTTATGAAATCTTGCTTCCATTTAACTCTTTCTCTCTTTCTGTAGGGGTGCCTTCCAGACAGGCCAAGGACCGCTTGATGCCCAAGTGAAGCTCTTAGAATTTACTCTGGAGCAGAATTTTGAAGTTGTTTCAGTTAGCACTATTTCTGCTGTGATAGAATCTGTCACCTTCTTAGTGCACCACTATATCACTTGCTCAGACAAAGTAATGTCTAGAAGTGGATCAGATAGCTCCGTGGGTGCTCGAGCATGCTTTGGGGGACTCTTTGCCAACCTCATTCGTCCAGGTGATGCAAAAGCAGTTTGTGGTGAAATGACAAGAGATCAACTCATGTTTGATTTATTAAAACTTGTTAACATTTTAGTACAGCTGCCTCTTTCAGGCAATAGGGAATACAGCGCAAGAGTATCTGTGACCACCAATACAACAGATAGTGTTTCAGATGAAGAAAAAGTCTCAGGAGGCAAAGATGTCAATGGAAGCAGTACTACTATTCCAGGATCTCCTGCTTATGTTGCTGACTTAGTCTTAGCCAACCAACAGATTATGAGCCAGATTTTGTCTGCTCTAGGCCTGTGTAATAGCAGTGCCATGGCAATGATAATTGGTATGTATTGAGAATATTACTCTTACACTTGTTTCTGGTACATCATCTATAGTTACCCTATAATGTAAAACATTATTATCATGACTGATGTTTATTAGTGAAGACTTTTATAGTGTGGCTTCTCTTAAAAAGGATCGGGAATGTTTGACACAGGCCAGGAAATCATTTGGAATATGACAGGATAGACAATTCTTCTTATTGGCTGTGAGTGGCCTGTTTGTTGTATTGATAATTTTGTGTATGGTCCAGAGTGATGTTAAAAGTATCCATGTAGCCTTTGGCAGACAAACGTTCCCCACCCCTGCATTAAAAAAAAAAAAAAGAAATACAGGAAAAATTGATATGTCAGCCTAAAAAGTACTGGGAAATACCAACAAATGGACTTTTAGATTCAAGAATGTAAAAGGATTAATGTCAGATGCTTTAATTGATAGCTAAAATCCTGTATGGATTTCAAGATGAAGAATTTGAAGTCACATTTTGTATTAGAGATTTGTAAAATTTATTTAAGCATATTTGCTTTTCTATGCCACATACGTCAGTGTAAAATGTGTATGCTATTGTATATCAGTTTGGAAGCTTATATAGTGCATTAAGTTTTAAAAAAGTAATTAGTTATTAATTTCAGCAAAAACAATTCTTGATGTACTTTTTACCTGTTTGCATTTCTTTGTCACATCTTTTTTTTAATTAGATGTTATCCATAATTAATACTAATTCTATAGTAGTTTTCTCCTTATTTTCTTGAAATAAAGCCAGTCATTCAACAAAGCAGCTTATTTTTATTGTAAAAAAACAACCAGAGCTAATGCTTTAGACTCTAGGGATGATGTTTTCATGTGTACCTGTGTTTGAATGTGTAACTATTAGATATCTAGCATCTGGCTCCTCAGACTCTTATTATTGATGTTTATGGATATCTAGTGTTTTTTTTTAATATATAATTTTTTAAACTAGGAGCCAGTGGATTACATCTCACCAAGCATGAAAACTTTCATGGTGGGTTAAATGCCATATCAGTTGGGGATGGATTATTTACCATATTGACAACGCTTAGTAAAAAAGCTTCTACAGTCCACATGATGCTACAGCCAATTTTAACCTATATGGCCTGTGGATATATGGGAAGACAGGTAAGTTCAATCCTTATGAATTTAAATAGTTTCTGCTAATTCAAGTAGAGAAATATATGTAAGACCCAGACAGATCAGAGTATTGATATCATATATTAAAAAAAAGATTTCTGTGAGAAATATGAATGATGAATGGAATTTGGGAGAGTAAGTTTCTTAAATTATATTTTCAAATATGTTCACAATTTTAGATTTTCTATATTTTTTAAATTTTAGATTTTCTATATTTTTATTATCTGTCATATCTGGAATGATTTCTTGTCTTTTTTCTTAAAAATAGCATACTTGAATGTCAAGGTGTTCTTCCTAGATGTTACATAAGGCAAAGCTATATATGGGTAGTTTTTCAGATTTGTGCTACATGTTTAGTTAGCTTTTTTTTTCTCCAGTTAAAGGGTATTAAGCTAATTTTAAAAAGGAAAATAAACTATTGAATTTTGTAATTGTTTTGAGAAGGAAATAAAAACCTTTTCTTTCCATTTTAGATTTTGTGGGGGTTTTTTGTTTTGTTTTGTTTTTTTGCCAGTTCTGAGGCTTGAACTCAGGGTTTAGGTACTATCATTCCAGCTTCTTTTTGGTCAAAGCTAGCACTCTACCACTTGAGTTGTAACAGCACTTCCAGCTTTTTTGGGGGACGGGGGTGGAGTGGGGTCAGTTGTGGGGCTTGAACTCTGGGCCTTGGCCCTGTCCCTCAGCTCTTCAGCTCAAGGCTAACATTTTGCCACTTGAGTCTGCGCCACTTACAGTTTTCTGGTGGTTATTGGAGATGAGTCTCACAGACTTTCCAACCCCGGCTGGCTTTGAACTCTGATCCTCAGATTTCAGCCTCCTGGTAGCTAGGATTACAGGTGTGAGCTACTGGCGCCAGGCTAGGCTTTTTATGCTTATGTGATACTGAGGAATTGAACTCAGGGCTTCAAACATGCTAGGCAATCACTCTACCACTAAGGAACATTCGAAGTCCTAGGAGTAATTTTTATAAATATTTATTGAATGTATGTACTTTTCTCCTTTAGAAAATATAAACATATTTGAAAAGCTTTAGATTTCTCTGATAGTAGTTTTCAACATAAAACAAAACAAAAGTATATTCAGGTAGAGTAGATAGATGCTTAATGTACTGTCTGGTTTGGGAGAAGAGATAATTGCCTTTTTTGGATTCAAGTAAGATTTATTGTATTTTGGTAAACAGTTTGCATTTAGTATAATTAAGGCTCTTAATTTAAAAATTGGCTATAAAAATATACACTCACTAAGAAGTATTTATTTTTTTAGGGATCTCTTGCTACTTGCCAGTTATCTGAACCATTATTATGGTTCATATTGAGAGTGCTGGATACTAGTGATGCCTTGAAAGCATTCCATGATATGGGTAAGATGAAATTCTGATCATTGCTATTGAAGTTCATTTTATGGTAATCTGAAAGTTGATGATGGCAGATCATCTATGCTAAGATACTTTTCATTGGTTTTCTTTGTAAATTTAGGTGGTGTTCAGCTCATTTGCAACAATATGGTTACTAGTACAAGGGCTATTGTGAACACTGCAAGGAGTATGGTATCAACTATTATGAAATTTCTTGATTGTGGTCCAAATAAAGCTGTTGACAGCACTTTGAAAACGAGAATACTAGCTTCTGAGCCTGACAATGCAGAAGGGATCCATAACTTTGCACCCTTGGGTAAGAAAAATGTTATTACATTATATTATTAAAATTATTTAGTTTATTAGCTGGTTTGAAGCAGAATTATTTCTTGAAGTAGGTTGATGATGTTAGACTGTTACACATTTTAATTACAACCAGTTGACTTTTTTTGTAAGATAATAGCTATCAAAATATTTTGATTGAGTGTTCCTTAACAGTAAAATTTTCTTCCATTTCATGTGTAAGTGGCAGTACAGTTTATGAAACAAAATAGAAATGCATACGCCAGGGCTGGGAAGGTAGCTCAGTGGTAGAGCGCTTCCTTGCATGCCTAAGGCTCTGGGTTCGATTCCTCAGCACCACTAAAGCAAAAAGAAAAAAGCCGGAAGTGGCGCTGTGGCTCAAGTGGTAGAGCGCTAGCCTTTAGCTGAAGAGCTGAGGGACAGCGCCCAGGCCCAGAGTTCAGGCCTCACGACCAAACCCCAAAAAAAAAAAAAAGAAATGGCATATACCAACTTACTGCTATTTTTAATATGAGCCAGTTTGACAAAACTTGTTTCTTCTTTAACAATACTTATTTTTACTTTTTGATGGTGTTCTGGGGCTTGAGCTCGGGGGCTGGGCACTGACAATGAGCTCTTTTGCTCAAGGCTAGCCCTCTACTATTTGAGACACAGCTCTACTTCTGTGGGTCTGTCTTCCTTCCCTCCCTCCCTCCCTCCCTCTCTCCTGTCCTCCCTTCCTTCCTCATCATCTTCTTCGTTCTTCCTTCTTTCTTCAGTTTGAGTCTCATGAACTTTTCCTGCCAAGTCTGACCTGGAACCATAATACTCAGATCTTAGCCTCCTGAGTAGATCATATTGTAGGCATGAGCCCCCAGTGTATTTGAATTTAGATATTTATTCCTCTATCCAGTCTACAGTACTTTTAGTTACATATATAGTTAATATATTTGTATTTATAATTCATAAACATTGACAAGTTAGAAGTGAGTCAGGTTTCAGAATTCTCTTTAAGGCAGAAAAATATCTTGGACATAGATTTCTAGTTCAGTAAAGAGAAAATTATAACTAGATTCGTTGTTACTAGTTTTATTTGTCATCTTGCTAGTTGGCTGATGTGCTGTATTTTTGTGAGTACTCTTAACAATCATTCTTGGCGAGCTAAAAGTATACTAGCACATCAAATGTTAATGTTTTCAGCTACTTTTTATAGTAATTGAACATAATTTTAGTTATCAATATCATTTCAATAGTTTGTAACACTTTATTGCATTTTGCTTCAAGTTTATGTATTATTTGAAATATCTTCTGTAGGTACAATCACATCTAGTAGTCCTACTGCCCAACCAGCTGAAGTGCTTTTGCAGGCTACACCACCCCACCGGAGAGCTCGCTCTGCTGCTTGGTCCTATATATTTCTTCCAGAAGAGGCTTGGTGCGACCTTACTATTCACCTTCCATCAGCAGTACTACTGAAAGAAATACATATTCAGCCTCACCTTGCATCTCTTGCAAGTGAGTGATAGAAAGATCATGGGAATAAGTTATAATTTAGAAACACTTGAAAATGACAAAAATATTTAACAATGATCGTTAGATATTATTACTAGATTGTGTTGTTGTTGAACAGTTTTTAGTGAAATAGTTTACAGTACCATCAAGTAATTTTCATGAAATGAGAAGGATGAAATCCATTGAAATATTGTCCAATTACATACTAGTTTCTCATTTTATGCCAAAAGGAGTTTGTTTCTAAAGATACCTTTTTTCGTCTGGTTCTTAGCATTTGTTCTATAATGTGAGATTAGCAAGGATTTATTGTATGTCTGTCTGTTCTGCTCTAATTGGAAGTTAATTACCTCTCTGAGTAACTTTTTTTTTTTTGGGTCAGTTGTAGGTCTTGAACTCTGAGCTTGGGCTCTGCCCCTGAGCTCTTCAGCTCAAGGCTAGCCCTGAACCACTTCAGCCACAGCTCCACTTCCTGCCCTGGCTGGCTTTTTACCGTGATCCTCAGATCTCAGCCTCTTGAGTTGCTAGGATTATAGACGTGAATCACCAGTGTCCAGTTTTGCTTTTGCTTTTGCTTTTTTTTTTAAAATGTGCTGTTCCTGGGATTTGAACTGAGTGTCTATGGGTGCTCTCTCTGAGCTTTTGTGCTCAAGACTAGCACTCTACCCCTTTGAGCCACATGTCCACTTCTAGCTTTTTGGTAGTTAATTAGAGATAAGAATCTTAGGGACTTTCTTGCCTGTGCTGGCTTTGCATGCAGTTCTCAGATCTCAGCCTCCTGAGCAGCCTCAGTAACAGACATGAGTGATTAGCACCCAGCTGTGAATAATTATTTTTAAACACTGTTGTAATGTATTGAAACTTGAATGAATTCTTAAAGTGATGTGAGAATTCCACCGTTTCGTATTGTAATACAAATTTTTAATAAAAAATTCCATTCAGTGTTTATTGCATATTATTATTATAACTTTGTAAGGTAAATAATTAAAACGTTTTCAGAAAATAAGTTGCTAAGAACATGAACTATAAAACACTGTATTTTTTATTTTGGAGTTTCCCAATTCTTCCAATATAATTACAGTTTTTAGTGGATTTTTTTTTTGTTTTGTTTTTCTGTTGGTCATGGGGCTTGAACTCTGGGCATAGATAATGGCAAGCATAGATAATGGCAAGTTCCCATTAAGGGAAAGCACATGCTTTAGTTGTTTTCTATTTCAATGTGCTTAGTAAAATAGGTAAGTTATTAGAGCAGAAATTGAATGAATTTTGTGTTCCAGTGGAAATAACATAGGCTTTGAAATCAAGTCAGCTTGAGGGTAAGATCTACTGTTTGCTCTCATGGGTATTTGGATTTCTTTCTTTATTTTATTTATTTATTTATTTTTTGGTCCGGTCGTGGGGCCTGAACTCTGGGCCTGGGCGCTGTTTCTCAGCTCTTCAGCTCAAGGCTAGCGCTCTACCACTTGAGCCACAGCACCACTTCCGGCTTTTTTCTTTTTGCTTATGTGGTGCTGAGGAATCAAACCCAGGGCTTCATGCATGCAAGGCAAGCGCTCTACCACTGAGCCACCTTCCCAGCCTGTATTTGGATTTCTTAATGTTGTTCACTGTCTGTTTATATAAAATTGTTTTGGATTACAATTTATTTGCCTGGTACTTATTTTGAATCCCAAGCCTCAGAGTTTCTAGGTAGGCACTCTACTACGTAAGCCACATTCTTGGCTCTCCTTTTTTATATTTGTTTGTCATTTTACTTATAAGTGTTTTTTTCACATAGTGTCTTAAATATTCTCAGATTGTGATTCTCTTATTTCTGGCCTCCCCGTGTAGTTGGGATCATAGGCTTGTTAGTTGCTTAACTGCCTACCCTGGCCTTGAACCTTTATCCTCCAGACTTGTGCCTTCCAGATGTGGCATGTGCTAACTTCAGACCTATTTTTGGTATTTTGAAACAGTATCTCAGGCCCACAGACCAAGCTGGTCAGGAACCAGCCATGTAGCCTATGTTAACCTCAAACTCAAAATAATACTACCTCACTTTCTTAAGTGCTGATCTTGCAGGCAGTGTAGCATCATGCCTGGCTTAAGTTTAAAAATTGAAGTAACTTCTCTACCAGTGTAAGCCTGGCATTTAATTGACATTTAATTGAAATTAAGGCCACAGTTTAAGATTATTTTAGTTGATAGACATGTTTATTAGTGATTAATGTTTATTAATACTTACTACATTATTAGTTTCATGAATGTTTATTAATACTTACTACATTATTAGTTTCATTAATTTCAATGATAATTTTTAAAAATTATTTAGGATATTTTAGTTTTAGAAGGGAAATAGAAGATAAGCATTGAAGGCAGGCGCCAGTGGCTCATGTCTGTAATCTCAGGAGGCTGAGAGATCTGAGGATCGCAGTTCAAAGCCAGCCCGGACTTTTCTCTGTGAAACTCTTATCTCTAATAAACCACCAGAAAACTGGAAGTGGCGCTGTAGCTCAAGTGGTAGAGCGCTAGCCTTGAGCTGAGGGACAGCGCTCAGGCCCACAGTTCAAGCCCCACAACTGACAAAAAAAAAAAAGAGTTGAAAGCAATATCTAAACTTAGATGTGAGCTTCAACTTCATGTTAAAATTTAGAATATAGTAGTAGTGGAATAAAGTGTTAGTAGAATTGGGTGCTTATGCCTGTAATCCTACCTACTCAGGAGGCTGAGATATGAGGATTCAGATTCAAAGACAGTCAGGGCAGGAAAGTTCCTATGAGACTCTTGAGTTAAACACTCAAAAAGCAGAAGTGGTGGTAGAACACTAGCCTTGAGCAAAAGAGCTCAGGGACAGAACCCAGGTCCTGAGTTCAAGCCCCACAATTGACAAAAACTAAAAAAAGAGTTAGTAGAAAAATACTTACTATTATTTTTCTTCCTAAATTATTGTTATGATTATTTTCTAGTCCTGGAGCTTGAACTCAGGGCCTAGTTGCTGTGACTGAGCTTATTTTCTTAAGGCTAGCACTCTGTATCATAGCTCTGCTTCTTGCTTTTTGATGGTTAATTGGAGGTAAGAGTCTCATGGACTTTATTGCCTTTGAACTGCAATCCTTTGAACTGCCTCTTGAGTAGCGAGGATTATAGGCATGAGCCAGTGGCTCACACTACCTTTTTCTAAATTATTTTAAATTGCCATCTTTTATTTCTAAACTATTTTAAATTGTACTATTAATTACACCCATTTTCATATTGTTAATGACAATTTTGGATAAGATAGGAATAGTAACATAGTTGCCTATGTAGTTGGTTTTATTTTTTTTCTTTAGGGAGGATTTAGCATGTTTGAATTGAACATCTCCAGTAGGGTTTTTTTAGTTGAATATTACAGACTTTATGATTTTTAAAAAATTATATTATGGATCCAGATTTTCTCTTTTTTATGGTGGTACTGGAGTATGAACTCAGGGCCTTATTCACTTCAACTTGATTGATATACTGACTCTCTACCACTTGAGCCATTCCTATGGTTTTTTGCTGGTTATTTTGGAGACTGAGTCCCCTGGACTTCTCGCTTTAGGCTAGCTTCAAACCTTTGCTCTCCCTCTTGATCTTGTTCCTGAGTAGCTTGAATTAGAGGTGTGAGACACCAATGACTGTCTGGATCAAATCTTTATTTGATGTTACAAAATTGTCTAAAATCAGTTGTTAAGAAAGTCAATGATGAGGTATGGTTTGCTCTAGAATTATTTTTGTGTGTGACTTTATGATGTTTTTAGGATAAAAAATTAGACTATGAAATCTAGTTCACTTACTTGTTTGTATGATTGTTAAATTTTTTTTTTCTTTCTGTAGCTTGTCCATCTTCAGTGTCTATTGAAGTGAGTGCAGATGGTGTAAACATGCTACCTCTATCTACTCCTGTTGTCACAAGTGGTCTAACCTACATAAAAATTCAGCTTGTGAAAGCGGAGGTAGCTTCTGCTGTCTGCCTTAGACTACATCGTCCACGAGATGCCAGCACATTAGGCCTGTCTCAGATTAAATTGTTGGGCCTCACTGCTTTTGGTACCACTTCTTCAGCAACAGTTAATAATCCCTTTCTTCCATCTGAAGATCAGGTTTCCAAAACAAGGTATATATTTCCATTCCTAAAAACTGTTCTCTGTACTTTTAAAAAAATTTAATGTTTTGATTTTTTAAAAAGTTTGTATTAAGAGTGTTTATATGCTATCATACTTTAGACATATCTATTAAATAACAATTTTGTAGAAGCAGAAAACTAAGACATAATTAAATTTGTGATTGATAAGGTGGGTGTCTGTGGCTCATGCTTGTAATCCTAGCTACCTTTGGAGGCTAAGTTCTGAGGATTGCAGTTTCAAGCCAGCCTGGGCAGAAAAGTCCACGAGATTCTAATCTCCAACAAACTTCTCAGAAAAGGTCAGAAGTGGAGCTGTGGCTCAAGTGATAGAGTGATAGCTTAGAACACAAAGAGGCTCAGGGACAGTACCCAGGCCCTGAGTTAAAACCCCAGAACTGGCATAAATAGATTGATAGGTAGGTAAGTAGGTAGATAGATAGATAAAAATTGTGATTTATATGTGTTTAATCATTGAGTTGACTTACAGTATGGTATGTTTATAGGTTCTGGTTGTTTAGGTCATAGTTCATTATAGGAATTTCCACCTGTCCTATAAGCAGGAATATATCTTATCCATAATAACTGATCTAGAAACAGGGAACTAGTCTTTGTAAAAGCCAACAATTCAAAAATATTATTATATCTGAATCATAAAATTGAGGGCCTGGAATATATGCTTTAAGTGGTGATTTTCTGATAAATTTTGATGCCTGACTATTTTATAGATTTTACTTTTAAACCATTTAATATGTTTTATTAGAAGTTAGTTTCTATTTTTATTCTCAATGTGTAAAGATTTTACAATATTAAAAGCTGGGTACTGATGGCTCATGCCTGTAATTCTTGCTACTCAAGAGGCTGAGATCTGAGGATCATGGTTCAAAGCCAGCCTGGGCAGAAAAGTCCCAGTGAGACTCTTTATCTCCAATTAACCACCAGAAAACTGGAAGTGGCACTGTGGCTCAGAAAAAAAGATCTCAGAGACAGTGCCCAGGCCACGAGTTCAAGGCCCACGACTGACCAAAAAAAAAAAAAAAAGATATTACAAGTCTCTGAGCCTATTCAGTTGGTATTCGTATGTAGATACAAAATTTGTCATTACTGTTGATTTTAGGGCATACTGACTAGATATTTAATTTTGTGTTGATTATCATCAATTTATCTTTCTTTTTAAATAGCTTGATCTGTGCTATTTACAACATGCTAATATCGTTAAGGAGTTTCCTTCTATCCCTGAAATAATTTGAACTGCCTGTGTTTATCATACTTACATTGTGTATTTCAGTATTGGATGGCTACGGTTATTGCATCATTGCCTTACTCACATAAGTGATCTGGAAGGAATGATGGCCAGTGCAGCTGCACCTACTGCTAATTTGCTACAGACTTGTGCTGCCTTGTTGATGTCACCCTACTGTGGAATGCATTCACCCAACATCGAGGTGGTTCTTGTGAAGATAGGTCTACAATCTACTAGAATTGGCCTGAAGCTTATAGACATTCTCCTGAGGAATTGTGCTGCATCAGGCAGTGATCCTACAGGTAACAGTTAACGTTGTTATTTTAACCTTTGCATATCTTTCAGAGTAATCACAATGAAACTATGTGATCTTTATGATTAATTGTTTCTGAAGTTAATTTCTCTTATAGCTTTGTAGTTTATTTTGTTGGAATTTATAAAATTATTTTTAACATAACTAAAAATTATGCGGATCTTTCCATTTCAGGTATGCTTATTTAACAAATTTGTTCTTTTTATTCTTTTAATTTCCTACAAGATTTGAATAGCCCTTTACTTTTTGGAAGATTAAATGGACTCTCTTCTGACTCTACAATTGATATTCTTTACCAGCTTGGTACCACTCAGGATCCTGGAACAAAAGACAGGTACATACATGTTAACAGAATTTTGTAGTGACAGTAACTTACAATTCTTTATTCTTAAGACGTTTCGTAGAAGACAATACTGTTACAGTGTTCTACGTCTAGGTACATGCTTTACATGAGACAAGCTTTAAAGATTTTTATGAATATTATACATAAATTTTCATGTATTTGGACAAGTTTTAAGAAAATTTCAACTCAAATATAATTTGTTGTGTGTGTGTGCCATCATGGGGCTTGAACTCAGCCTGGGTGCTATTGCTGAGCTTTTTTTGTTTTAGGCTACTAGCACTTTACCACTTGAGCCACATCCACTTCAAGCTTTTTGGTAATTTATTGGAGATAAGATCTCACAGACAGCCTGGGCTGTCTGAACCACGGTTCTTAGATCTCAACCTCCTGAGCAGCTGGAATTCCAGTTTTCATATATAATTATTCATCTGCATTGCTATTGAGAAAAACAGTACAATAAAACATGTCTTTTTCAGCATTCTGACACTGCAGTTTGAACTTAGGGTCTCTGACTTTCTAGGCAGGCACTCTACTGTTCGAGCCACACCTATAACTGTTTATATTCTGATATGGTTGTACTTTTTGCCCAGGCAAACCTGGGCAATTCATTTATACTTCTTACTGTAGCTGGGATGACATTTCACCACCAGGCCTTTGCTTAGGCTGGCATGTAACAGTAGTCCTTTTGATCTCAGCTTTCTCTTAGTTTTGATGACAGGTGTGTGCCACCAAATCAAAGCTATTGGTTGAGGTGTAGGTACTTTGGAACTTTTTGCCCAGTCTGTCTTGGAACCCCAGTTCCTGATCTTTTTCACCTTTCATACATGTAGTAAAGTCAGAACTGTTATGATAGGATCTTTGTAAGGTGGAGGTTTCATAATCTTACTGTCTTAGGTAGTATAGTTGCATATGAATATAGGAAAATTGTAGATATTTTGATTGTTTTGATAATGCTTCTATCATGCTAAATGATTAGTTATAATTTATATAATTATATAATTTACATAATTGTATATCAAATATATAACTTATATTCATTGACAGCTTCTCGCTGGTGGCTTCTGTTTTTCCTACAGAATTTTACAATATTATTCCAAGTAATCATATATGAACACTTCAAATAAATATTTCTACACATAAGAATTTTTTTTAAATGCTTATTTTTTTTGGTTGGTCGTTGGACTTGATCTCAAGGGTGGGTGCTGTCCTTGAGCATTAAAGGCTAGTGCTCGACCACTTTGAACCACATCTCTACTTTGTTTTTTTGGTGGTTAATTGGACATAAGAGTCTCAGGGACTTTCCTGTTTAGGCTGGCTTCCAACAATGAGTCTCAGATCTCAACCTTCTGAATTGGTAGGATTAGTATAAGTAATTTGATTGATGTCTTTTACCTTCATATTTTTGAAGAGCAATTCCAAGGACTTTTCAAACAATTTTAGTATTGAGTGACTAAGCATTCTCACTTCTTATGTGAATTATTTATGTTATATTGTATGAGACTCTGTAAGTAATACAAATAATTCCTAGGTAGAGATTATCCCCTGAGTTATTCATTCATTCATTCATTCATTCATTCATTCCTTTCTTTTACTGGTGCTTGGGATCAAACTCAGAGCTCAATACATTCTAGGCAAATTGTCTATCACTGAGCAACCTACCCACTTCCCTATAATATTTTTTTCTTAATTTATATTTAACATCGAACAGTTTGATGTTTTGTTGTTAACTCCTTGTCTTCTAAATTATTAACTAAATTTTGTTGCGACTACTATGGTACTAGATACTAGATAAAAAGTATATTGAGTCCTGCTTCCTTCAGGGTTGTAGAGACAAGCATTATCACCAAAATTGGAGAGTATGACATTAGCTTGTTTTGAGTGGAATGCAAGACAGGAAGTCACAGATGGTATTTATAGTACCTTTAGAATATGAAACAGGCTAGCTTGTTTTCAGTTAAGCCTTTTATTTTGTCAAATCATGGAAAACTTTTATATGTAAAAATATATGGGAATTGGTTGGGGCCGGAGATGGGGGCAGTTTGACTCCAGGCCTTACACTTGATAAGCAGATGTCATTCCAATTAAGCCAAGCTGGCCAAATCATTTTTTTTTCTTAAATTTTTTTTATATGATCTTGTGTTTTATTTTTTCTGGCCCAGTATGGAAACATGACCTTCTGTGGTCTCTGCTTTCCCAGTATTATATGGGATTAGAGGCAAGTACTCTCATGCAGTTTTTGAATAATTAAATACCAATTTGCATGAAAATTTGAATTATAAAAGACCTAAATATGTATTATTTTATTTTATTCTATTTTTTATTATCTTTAAATAGTTGTACAAAGAAGTTCCCATTCTACAAAACAGTATATGGGTACAAAGCATCTGACAGCATTGTCACCCATCTCTCTTAACCCATCCCTTCTCTTTCTTTTTTTCTTTATTTGAAATTAGGTGATTACATAAATTTAAACATGTATTTTTAAAAATGTTATTAAATAGTTTTATATATCAAGTTGCTTACAAACTTACAGCATATTTATTTTGATATTTTGATTTTTCTTTATCATAAAAAGAAATTAAGCTTATTTTCTCTGCATAATACTTTTTATAGCATGAATGTTTAACCTTTAGAATAAACACTAATGAGCAGTACACTGGTGACTCACACTTATAATCCTAGTATCTCAGGAGGCTGAGACCATAGTTCAAAGACAGCCCATGCAGGAAAGTGCAAGAAACTCTATGAGACTCTCTGTCTCCCGTTAACTAGCAAAAAACTAGTAGAAATAGAGCTGTGGTTCTGGTGTTATGCTGGCCTGGAGCAAAAAAAGCCCAGGCACAGCACCCAGACTTGAGTTCAAGGCCCAAGATACATGTGCCTGCACGCGTGCACGCACACGCGCGTGCACACACACACACACACATACACACAGAGTTAACACTCATGACAAGAATTCTTGGCTTTCCATGAAACGAGAAAATGTTATTTGGCCCAAATTGCCTCCTTTTTTTTTTTTTTAAGACTTATCTATTTTCTTATCATATAAAATTAAAATTTTGTAAGTTTTTCAGATCTTGGATAGCCTGGGTAAAGAGATTAAATACTATTAAATCCCTTTGTTCATTTCCTTTACATAGAATAGCATAGAGTCTTGTGTTATAAGCCATCATAAATTTGAAAGGAAATAAATATGGTATTAAAAAGCTGACAATACCCATGTAATTGTAACCCCTCTGTATAGTATGTTCACAAATAAAATTAAATTAAATTTAAAAAAAAGCTGACAATAAAACTCAGAATTTTTTGTTGTTCTTGTACCTAATTTCTTTTTCTTTAAATGGTTCTTAGTCTTTTGTCTGATTGGCTTCTAGCTCTAGCTCTTGGGAGTAAGGTAGTATTTGAGGTTGTATTATGTCAGAATAAATGAAGATGGGTGGATACAACTAGTTTTTATTGCTTTGGGTCCAGGTATATGAAGATAAATTGCCTTTCACAAGATTCTGACAATATCTTAAATTACTGCTATAGCTGTGTATGTGTGTTATAAGATGAAATAAAATTTAGAGAATAAATTTTATTGTTTAGCTTGTAAGTATAGACTTTTTTGCACATTTTGTTATAATTATGGTAAGAAATAAACAATACTTATATACTGAGTAGTAGTTGTGTTATCTCAAACTTGTTAATTAAAACTAGTAAGGTTATTTGAAACCTGGAACCACTATGTGTTTTTGTTACTCATAAGTTTTGTTTCTCTCTTGTCTTAGATTAAAAGGATCAAGTATAATTGGTATATTATTGTCATAAATATTTGGAATACAGGAAAAGGTGCTATTTATATCAAATATCAGTTAATGCATTATTGGAATTCACTTTCTTATTTTAAGAATTCAAGCCTTGCTGAAATGGGTCAGTGATTCTGCAAGAGTAGCTGCTTTGAAGAGAAGTGGCAGGTTGAACTATGTGAGCCCTAGCTCTTCATCAATAGAATATGGTCTTCTGATGCCATCCCCTTCTCATTTGCACTGTGTAGCAGCAATCCTTTGGCATAGTTATGAACTTCTTGTAGAATATGATTTACCGGCACTACTGGATCGAGAACTCTTTGAGTAAGTATGATTTAATATAAACGCCTTCTCCAAACTTGTAGATCACTGTAGCTTTTCACTTGATTATTTTTAGTCTGTCAGGATAAGAATAGTACTTTGAAAATAGTGAATATAATCAAGAGTAGTTTTATAAGGAGATGTCATAGTAGTTTTCCTTTCTTTTTGCTTTCATTTTTGTTAGTGTTTTCGTTTTTTTTTTTTGCCATGCTAAGAATTGAACCTTAAAATCTTTGGATATGTTAGGCACTTTTCTGCACCTGTGCCCATCTTCTTGTTTTGACATGTACTAACAATGTTGCCTGCTTTGGTTTATGAAATCAGAATGTGAAATTAGAATGTATTTATTCCTATAGTACTTTATATTTAAATTGCAAAGTTAGCCATTAGATTCTTTTATATGTAATGTAAAAGTGTGGAGGACAAGTATAGATAGAAATTTTAAAATGTCAAAATGTACTTTTATGAATATCTATGTTATCTCCAATAGAAATATTTGAAACAATAATGAATTCTGTAAAAAAAAGTTATGGCATTAATGTGGTATCTTTTATTTCCCTAGGTTACTTTTTAATTGGTCCATGTCTCTTCCCTGCAACATGGTTTTGAAGAAAGCTGTTGACAGTCTGCTTTGTTCCATGTGTCATATACATCCCAATTATTTTTCCTTGCTCATGGGTTGGATGGGAATTACCCCTCCTCCAGTGCAGTGCCACCACAGACTGTCCATGACAGATGATAGCAAAAAACAGGATCTTAGTTCATCTTTAACAGATGATTCTAAAAATGCACAAGCACCTCTTGCACTAACTGAGTCACATTTAGCAACCCTTGCTTCCTCTTCTCAGTCTCCAGAAGCTATCAAGCAATTGTTAGACTCAGGTTTGCCTTCTCTTCTTGTGAGGAGTCTGGCTAATTTTTGTTTTAGCCACATTTCCTACTCAGAAAGTATTGCCCAGTCAATTGATGTGTCCCAGGACAAGCTCAGGCGGCATCATGTTCCACAGCATTGTAATAAAATGCCTATCACAGCAGACTTGGTTGCTCCTATTCTTAGATTTTTGACAGAAGTTGGCAATAGCCACATTATGAAAGATTGGCTTGGTGGTTCTGAAGTCAATCCACTATGGACAGCACTTCTGTTTTTATTATGTCACTCTGGGTCCACTTCTGGAGGTCATAATTTAGGTGTACAACAGACCACCAGTGCAAGGTCAGCATCTCTTTCTTCAGCTACTGCAACAGGACTGACTACTCAGCAGCGGACAGCAATTGAAAATGCAACTGTTGCATTCTTTCTGCAATGCATTTCATGTCACCCTAATAATCAAAAACTCATGGCACAGGTAAGAAGATATAATATCTCAGGCTTAGGTGCCTTATTATTTTAATATGTCATATAAAATTAGGTAATCAAGGATCATATATTAAGGTTATTATTAAAGTATTGGAGTAAGTGCCTTAATGGATTTTAATTTAAATGATAATTAAAGTATTAATAGCTCCTTCCTCCTTGCTTCAAAATAATATGATTCCACAAATAAGTTGTTTTTCATGATTGAACGATTTGGAAAAGAAAACTTCTCTAGTTTTTCTTTTTCTTTCCTCCCTCCCTCTCTCCTTCCTTCCTTCCTTCCTTCCTTCCTTCCTTCCTTCCTTTCTTTCTTTCTTTCTTTCTTTCTTTCTTTCTTTCTTTCTTTCTTTCTTTC